TACAGATAAAACTGAAATGAATTGAATTGAATTGAAATAATTGTTTTTGGTGTTAAAGCAGAATGATTCAAAGTCAGCGTTCATGTTAGGACCACAACCCAAGCTGGAACTGAGCAAAATGACTCAGACCTAAATTTCAAACCCAGAATCAGCCCAGTGTGACCTAAAAATAGGGCGGGCATTAAAGGGAATGTCTCAGCGAGACTTAGAAGAACTTTCATCTTTCACAGTGCTGACTAACTGTATGCTGAGACCTCGAAGGTGGAACTCATCAGTCTACTTCTCAGCCCTTTGCACCGGCTTCCTGTGTGTCAAACACTTAAAAGTGCTGGTTCATAAAAATGCCACGATACATTTCTTACCTGTCCCAACCTCTCGGCTGGTCCGGGTCATGTGTGCTTTCTAAACACCGCACATCTGGAATAAAGTTTGCTCTTCTGTCTTTTCAGTTGAGGTTTCAAACTGTTTTGTTTTAATCAGACTTTACTTTAACCGTCCTGTGTGTAATTTATAATCAGTTTTAAATAAACCCTTTATAAGACACTGTAATACAGTTGTAAGCATATATAAGGGCATTTCTATTTAGTGATTATTTACAACTCCTCTATAAGTGGAGGGAGCTGTATAAACACATAATGAGGATAGACGGGCTGGACGTGTAGAAATCCAGCATCTGCCCGGGACTCATGGCCAGCACGTCCATGCAGTCAAACATGACGACGGCGCGTCACTCAACTACTCTTGTGCGTTATGGATAAAAAAAAACAATCACCGGCATAAGCGTACACAACTCCATCAAACTCCTCTGCTTCCCCCTCAGCTGCAATACAAAATATTAATCTATATAAAAAACTAAATTGTACATTAATAAACAATTTAAAATGTCTTCATATCTGCTTACAACTACATTATAGTGTCTCATAAAGCATTTATTAAATGTTACCCATTAAATTCAATCAGGTGTTATTATTCATATATTACATTGCTGTAATACAACATCTTCCATTATAGCTGATTGGTTTAAACCCTATTCTTATTTTATATCTTTATATATTCCCTTTTGATTGCCTTTTATGTCTCATGTAAAGTACTTTGAATTGCCCTGTTGTAAAAAGGTGCTGTCCAAATGAACTCGCCTTACATTAAAGCCAGGGTCAAAACAGCAATTAAACTACCATGAGAAAGTTCTCCACCAGAACCAGATTCAATATATATTATATAGAGTTAAATGGAATTATTGGCTAGGAAATCCGACATGTGACGGTGCTGTGGTGGTGAAGGAGACTACGGCAGAGCTGGTATTTGATCTTTATTAAAAGGCCAGCACCGGAGCAGACACACAGTATCAGTGTAACCCTGGTGGGACCCTAACACTGTCCTAATCATGTCGATTAAACATGCCTGGCATCAGAGAGCTCTCCTTTCATTTCACTGTTGTACACCGCTTTTTATTTCCCCCCAACCGCCTTTCATTCCACACGCCCACTAAATTAGCTTGGTGTGCAAGCTGTGCTAATGGCCTTTCATGTCCATATCAGAGGCGCTTCAGCCTTGAAGACAAAAAGGCCCCAATTATCCAACAACACACATCAGCTGTACTGCCACATATCGCGCTGGAACATCACACTCTGTCTTTTTAAGTCACAATAGCAGCAGCGTTTATAGACAATCACTTATTTGTCTGATAGCTTTTGGATTCGTTTCGATGAGATAAAAATGGCTTGATGCTTTCGTGGCTTTATGCAGCGTGGGTATCGCGTGCACCGCTTCCTCGGCTGGCAAAGCCCGTTTTATCCGCGCAAAGAAGGTCCTTGATCATTCTTAATTAACATCCAAACTGGAAGAGGAAGTGCATTAATGGTCGGCTTGTTGTCAATGTGGCTAATTAACACCCAGGAGGTTTCCATTATCCTGAACAAATAAATTAATAAACCAACATTTCAATGACCCTTTGAGAGGCTTTCTCAAATCAAAGTCTTATTTAAACAGTGCCTTATTCAAACAGGAAAAGGGCGGGGGGGGGGTCCTGTCTGACAGCGCCAAAGGCCAACGCGCAGCTTTACGGGCCAAAACAAATTCATCGTGAGAAAGCGTAAAAAGGAAATCGTCTTTTGTGCTTGTTAGTGCTTCGTGAGTCCCGTCTTAAAAGGTCAGTGTGAGCGCGCGCTCTAAAGGCCACTGACTGCCTAATTGCAACCACCTTAAAACACCTTAGTACGCCGCCTGTTATTATTTAACCAATGTACACCACACATTATGTTAAATGCCCTGAGAGATAATATAAGCTTTACTTTCAAGCAAAAGAAGCGAATCAGTGAAGAAAATGTGATCGAGTATTAACAATGACAGAAAGTGCAGGGCCGTAGCTGCCAATAAGGAGGCCATTTCTGTGCAAAACTGTGTTTCTAACCACCACTCTCATTACATCATACAACTTAAAAGGTTCACATGGTGTTTATTTTATATTTTATTTTGTCCATGTTTATGCCAGTAAATAAGTAAATCATTTGAGCATTTGGAAGAAAAGTAAAAATAAAACCTTCAGTTTGGTATCGTTAAAATGTTCTGAAGGGGGGGTGAGGAATGCATGGAGAACCTTGGTCTTGACCCCTGTATTGTTCAAATTCAGGCCACGGCCCTGTCAGAGAGCAGCTTACTAAAGTCTGCCGTTTAAAGAGGTAATTTCTGCAGTTTACCCATAAAAAAGTCTGTGTAAGGATTTAAAGAAACTCTGGGTTATAGTGATTAAGCATTTAGGCAATTAAGGCAGTTTTTAAAGCAAGTTTTGACACAAATTTTGCTTTAAAAAGGTTATAACGCAACAAGGGATTCACAATAAACATGAGAATGAGCTGATTTTGATCGTGTGTGCCTCCGAGGATTACTGAGAGGAAAACTCTATGACAGCTGCAGCTACAGGGAGGGCGCAGCAGTTAAACATTCATATGAGGACTTTAAATTAAAATAAATAGTTTTAACACTTAAAAGGAACAACTGAGCAGGAAATAACCAAATAAGAAAAAATAAATAAATAAAAGACTTTCTTTTTGGTGTTTGGTTTGATATTTTGTGAGGGGGTGGACAGCTGTCTGCAGGCCGGTCAAAGAGTCTCTAACTGTACCGAAGTGTCTAAGAGATTATACGGTAGTATAAATTCAGCATATAGGCAAAATGAAAGTTCTTCTGCAAATTTTCTTTAGTTTGAAAATTGTAAAAAATATTCACAGACAAATTTATGTATGTGGTGAACTCTGGCTGGTATAAATAAAAAGTTTAAAAAGTGAAAGAAATAACTTTCCCATCACTTATTTTCAAGCATTATAGCATTAAGTTTAACATGACCATTGCATTATCATTATTATCATTATTATTATTAGTAGTAGTAGTATTATCATATTATTAATAGTCTGAAAAGATTTAATAATTAGATGATTAATCAATTAGTGGACACTTCACTGGCAATTTTGTTAATTAATTGTTACAATTATTTTTCAGGCAAAAGTGCCATAAACCTGCTGGTTCCAGCTTCCTAAATGTGAAGATTATCTAACTTTCTTCAGAGTAAATGCAATATGTCTGGGTTTGCTTGGAAAAAAATCACTAAAAGATGCTACCTTCCACTCTTTTTCACTAGTTTCTGACATTTTAGAGATTTAATAAACATCAGTGGAGATAGATTTGTCAAGAAAATGTTGCAGTTTTCTATCACTCCTCAGTTTTCTCTATCAGAGACCTCTGCATCCAACCCAGAGCAGCAGAGCAGAGTGTGTGAGGCAGCTCAGGTTGAAAAAGTGGCAGCTGACAAGTTTTTTGCCACTTTCCCTCCGCCGGCTGGAGCCTCTTTTTTTGACTGAGTGCCCTTGAGCAAACACTTCCAGCGGAATGACAGCTGCAGGCCGCTCATTATCAGATGGGGATAAATCACAGGGGCGGCAGCAGCAGGGTGACAGTGGAAAACAAACACTGACAAGTGCCTCATGAGCGCACGGCCGGCGGAGGAAAGTGATCCAGATCTGAAGTACAGGAGCCACATTGTACAATTAATGTGTGGGTGGCCAACAACACCTTTACTCTGATATTTGAATGCATTTTTCCTGCAGAAATAATATTATATTTTTTACATCATGTCAGAAAATGGCAAACTATTGGAATGCTGATGATTATTTTACCCTCATGAAGCCCTTTAACGTTCATTTGGATTCTATATTTAAAGGAGGAATCACTTGTAATATTCCTCAGAACGCAGCTGCTTAAAGCGTCTACTTAGTCTCCTGGACAAAAAAACCCCTAGCAGCAGTCCATCTATCAGACTGGGCCAATTCACCACGCCAGAGGCTGACATGTTCCGATAGCAGCCCGCTAATCTTGTTGAAAAGTCCGCGGGGTCATTTGTCTAAATCAGTGTCAGGGAGCGCAGGTCGCAGCTCGTCAGGCCGCCCCTCCTGTCATGTGCGGCCGGGTGGAGGTGGAGGAGGAGGAGGAGGAGGAGGAGGAGGTGTGCCGCCCGTGTTTACTCTCCCCGCATTCCTCCAGAACTGCTGCTCCAGTACTCTCTGAGCTGAACTGATCTGAGACAAGCCATACATCAGATCAGCAGGTCGGGGGCTGCTTCCACCGCGGAGGATTTATGAGGGCGTGCGAGTGGGAGTGAAATATGACGTTTGGGAGAAGAGTTTTTAACAAAAACAAACTTGTTTTTTTTTTTATCAGATAAACGCCAGAAAATTACACTTTATGTCACTGAGCTGCTCCAAAAATACCCCCCTGTGTGTTTATGAGGAATTATTCCTCCTGATTTATGATGCGCCCTGTTTCCAAGAGTTCTACAACTATTTAAGGATAACTCTCTAATTTTGTCTGATCTGAAATTCATTATCTCAGCAGCAGACCTGGGGCCCTTTATGGCAACTTGTTGTGAATCCTCGTGGACTCACTAATAAAACAACAGCAACAACAACAACAACAACAACAGATGATGATGAGGAGAAGTTTGGACCTACAGTGTGCGCTCCGGCGGTGCTGCCACTCTCTGTGCGCCAGTCCGCTGATGCAGGCTTTCAGAGCCTTCTCCTGCAGCATGCAGGAGGACGGGCTGGACGTGTAGAAATCCAGCATCTGCCCGGGACTCACGGCCAGCACGTCCATGCAGTCGAACATGATGACGGCGTGTCGCTCAACTACTCTTGTGCGTTATGGATAAAAAAAAACAATCACCGGCATAAGCGCACACAACTCCATCAAACTCCTCTGCTCCCCCCTCCTCCTCCTCCTCCTCCTCTTCCTCTTCTTCTTCTTGGCAAGGCAGATTTCGCTCCTCTTCTCCTTCGTCCCGCACCGGAATCATGAATTATTTCGGACCAAAATGCTTCACGGCTTCTCCTAAATGCTCATTTGGCATTTTCTCGCGCCGTCTCCTGTCAGCGCGCTGCCGCGGACGTCTGAACGGGACTCCTCCATAATAATAATACTAACAATAATAATAATAATATCCCGACGTGTTTTCTCTGAAGCACTGCCGTCCCGGTTACCGACACCGGAGAACGCAGCGGCAAAGCCCGCCTGAACCGGAGGATCTTTCTTTATCAAAAATAACGCGGACGGCGTTTAAAAGCACACGTTCTCCTCTCCGATGACGAATGGGTTCTCCGTCCCCCCGTGCAGCTCATTTCCAACTAGTTTTGCCACAGAGAATGAAAGATTGAATTGCCTAATATATGCGAGTGAACTTTGTATGAACCCTTCCGAGGCTGCTGACCTTCAAATGACCCAGGCGGGCTGACATCACTGCAGCTCCGCAGCGCGGAACAAGGCGGAGAGAAGAAACGCAGGGGGAAAGAGAATAAAGATCTTTTCTCTCCCTCTTTCTCCTGGAAAGAACAAAATACACCACGGTCCCCAAAAAATTTAAACGAGGTTTTTTTTATTTTAAGGCTCTGACTGCCTGCGCTCTGAGGGCGGTACTTTTTACGCACAGTGACAGGAAAATGCCCCATTCCTACACAGAGAACCCGCACCAACAGTTCTGATTTAGGTTTTTATCAAATATACTGCAGGACTTTACTTACAGGAAACAAAGAAAGAAAAAAATTATTTATTGTATTTATAAAATATACGGCAGTACTTTACTCCAAGGGAAAAAAAGAAAGAGAAAGAAAGACAGAAAAAGAAAGCAAGACCAAAAAGGAAATAAAGAAAGAGAAAGGCATTTATGAACTGTATTTATAAAATATACTACTTCTAAAGGAAACATTCGGGATATTTTACTGTTTCCTGGGTTTCCTGTTTGTATTTTGTTCTTCACTGAAGTTTGTTTTAGAAGATTTGGACTAAACTGAACTTTATTTTGACAGTCCAGCTTGGTTTTAATGCCTGTTACAACAATAAAAGAATACAAGATGACACCATACCAAACAACTTACAAGAAAACTACGTTAACCACATTATACACGTTTGGATGATTCTTTTTCCAGTATCAGTATATGAAAGGGTGGGAAGCATTTCCTGTAATGCTTTAATGACAATATGAGAACTAACAGACAGTAAATAAAATGGGAGTCAATGGGGGCTTTAAAACACTTCTGCATTTGGCTGTATTACAGTACACTGTTCTAGGAAACTGCACCAGTCGTCACAATGAGCTCATTAAGGCTGATCATTGTTAAACACTTAGTAAATCTGAATGGAGTTTGTACTGTTTTATACTGTAGATCACTGGTTCCCAACCTTTTTCCTGAAGGGACCCTTTTCTATCACTGCCTACACTGACTGACTGACTGACATATTTCATGGAGTTTGTTTAAAACGATTATTATTCTGTTATTTCCTATGCATATTGATCAGAGATGAGTTTTCCTGATATTTTAACAACTTTTTACACAATTCTCTCTCTGTATTGTTTTTTTTAAATATGTTTAACAACCATACAGACTCAAAAGGCTTATTTTAGGGTTTTCCTGCAAAAGGACTGCAAAGTTGAGATCTTAAATAACAATCTAAATTTTAAAAGTAGTATTCACATAATTGAACAAAATGCTGAGATATAGGACTACTGTGTACATTTTACACAAGCTTTCTTACACCCCTTAAAATAAATGTATGCAAGATAACAAGAATGTGCCCACTGTAATTACACACAATTAATTGTACATTTTTAATGTTGGCTTGTCTCCTTTTAGTGATAACAATGTCCCTACAACATGTCATTAAATTACTAATAATGAGCTTCTATGACTGCACTGTAATTGTGTTATATGTAGAGCATTATGAGAAAAACTTGTACTAAATAATGACTTTTACATTTACTCCAGTACTACACTCAAGTAAAGTTTTGAGGTACTTGTACTACTTGAGTGTTTCCATTTTCTGCTGTTTATAATTCTCCTCCACTACATGTCAGACGGAAATATTGTACTTTCTGGGTCGTGGGCAGGATTTACTGGAAAACTGAGGTCATTCAGTTGGATTATGACTCTGTTGTTTGGATAATGTTTCCTGCCTGGTTTGACCAAAAATATAAATAAATAAATAAATAAATAAATAAAAACATTGGAGAAAAGCAAACCACTAGCGTGTTTTGTATGAATAAATGTTCTGGGATCTGCAGCTACTGGAAGGTAATCATAGATAGCATGGACAAAGTTGACTGAAGATCAACTCTTGTTTTCAGGTTTTGTACTTTCAAGTCACTCGTGTATAGTACTTGGATGCAAAATAGTAGTGCTGCTCGATATGGTAAAAACATTATATTGTGATTATTTTAACATATATTGCGATTTGCAATCCACGATTATGTGGGAATGATAATTTTTCCATCACAAATTGTATTTCCCCCAAAAACTAAACAAAACAAAACAAAACTAAACTAAACAAAACACCTCATCATTAAATTGTGATGATGTGACATTTTTGCAGGTCTGTAACAAACAAACATGTTTTCTTAAATCTGGAGGCCAGGGCATCTCTGCAGCTCTACAGTGCTTCATTATAATGCTGTTTATCACACAGTTTACCTTTATCAAAACATTACAGCTTCCTCCATTTGCATATTGTACATGGCCATATTGCGATTGTGACAACATTTCAATTAACTGTGCAGCCCTTCAAAATAGCAAAGTTCATAGTGAAATATACAGTTTTAATTTATTAATCAGCTATGGCAACTGTGACCATTTTCTTTTAAACACACAAACACACACACACAAACACACACAAACTTGGTTATATCATTGTTACATAAGGCCATACACACCGTACAGGACACCAGAACCAAGTCCTAAATTTCAAAACAAAAGCTGCTGCAGTCACTGATCATTATTCTGACAGTTTCTGCATCAGATGTCCTTATAGCGACGGCATGATCTCACACATTTCTTTTAAAACTAGAGTTAAAGCACATGACAGACTAAAATTTTCATTTAAAAAATACATAATTGCTTTATTACACATTAAACTGCCCAACAGCGTCTAGGCAGTTAAAAATGGCACCACCTCAGCTACGACATGAACATGCTGCTGACTGCATCACTAACAATAATCCAATAACATAATGCTGTAAAGGAGCCATTCTGTTGCACAATGAGCACTTCTACTTCTCATGCTTTAAGTGCTGATTATACTTCTTTGCTTAAGTCGAGGGCCTTTACTTGCTACAGAGTGTTTCTCCACGGAGGTATTTCTACTTTTACTCTGATCTGAATACAACCCCACTGTTAAACACATGAGACATGACTATAGTGTTGTTTTTGCCAGGTCTAATGATCAGATTGCAGTGTGTCTGGTGTATCAGACCACAGACTAAAGTAAAGACAAACAGTGTGCAGAAGAGTCCAGGGTTCACTCCCTTCAATAGTTTGCTTTACTTTAAAAGCTAGTTGCTGAAGAAATGAATGTGCCATATTTCAAAATGTATTGTATTTGTAATGAATATAGATTTCATATTAGGATAGAGATATTAATAATCAGTGTTTAAAAAAGAACATGAAGCTCAGCAACCAAACCTCTGAGTTTTATTTTATACTCCTCAACACTGTAAAAATCTCATAATCAATTACTGAATAATCCTTTTAATCATTAACACGTTAATAAGTTTGTAATTCTAAAGTCCGGTCGAGGTAGATCATGCTGTTCTCACACTCAGAGCTGTTCCAAAGCTTATAATAAGTTCTGTTTTGTAGTTTAAAATAACTTAACTGTCCTAACTCATCAAAATAGGTTCTTTAGAAACATTGTTAGTTCATTAGCATACATACAGTTGTTAATAATTATTTGGGTTAAAATAATCCAGAAATTCTTCTATATGTATGATTTAAAGGTGATTACATGGTGTTCTGTGACTATTATACACGTGTATCAGATAGGTTACATATATCTGATCAAAATGACAACAATGTTAACCATGACACACATATCCACCAGGCATAGGACCATGGGAAAATTTCATGTCATGCAATACATTATATTAAAATGTACTTCATACTTTAAAAATGGCACTAAAACATACTGGAATAAATATATATAGTATCCCAGATACAACCTCTTCTCCCTGTTCTTTATTTTTTTTATTGATTCTGGGGATACAACAGACAGCCGAGCCTTCAGGATGGTGACAAGATCAGGATTTTGGAATGTCCCTCTTGTCCCCTTGTTCAAAATAAATCAGGAAATCAATACAGGTCTGTGTGCTGGAGAGACAGACAGCTTTTACAGGTCGAGCCATGAGAGAACATTGATGATTATCACGATAATGGAAATTCACCACGATAAATTGATCGCAGTGTTTTTTATTGTGATAATATTGTATATCGTCCCACCTCTAATATCCACTATAACCCCTCACGGCACTCCTTCTATATAAAGCACATAAGCCAGAGGTATTGTATCCATCAGCACTGATGCTGGTCTGAATGTGGCTGCTCACAATACAGCAAAAGCTGTAACAATCAGATGCTGTAGCTGATGAGGGATCAGACTGGGCACTGTTAAACTGGTGACAAAATAAACATAACTGAAAATCAATTAGAAACTTATGAAATTAGAAAATGCAATTCGAACTCTTTTAGATCACATCCCTGGTCATATTCTACACCTATTTGACAATGAATGGCAGTAAAAATCCAAAGAATCAATTTATTTGTATCCATATATCAAAATCCCTCCCTATAGCTGGTAGCTGAACAGGAAAATACACAGAAGCAAACAGCACTTTACTTTCAGTTTCATGGGGACTTCGTACAGATTTGTGTTACTTTAATGTTGAGTAAATTAACTTGAAATTATTATGCATTTAAACAAAACGAGTTTTGAGTCTTCAACAGACTTTGGCTTACATAAAGTCAACATAAAGTCTATAAAAAAATGTCTAATATACGTATGTAATTTAGTTATCCCAATAATTCAAGATAATGTCCCTGTATAGGATGATAATATATCCTCCCTGACAATTATCATGCAAGTTCAAGTTTTCTATTTTTTACAGTGTATATTGGAAAGAAGAAAAACTAATTCTACCTCATTTCACACACTAATTCATCTCAAAAAGTATTAGCATTTATTTTCATATATACCATGTTTTGGCTTTTGTATTTTGGCTTCATATATGTGTATATTTGGCTGTAAGTGCATCCTTATAAACTGTAGTTGATGATGTTGCAAACATCATAAT